ACTTGGAAGTGACTCCTGGGATCGGAGCGAGTCCCTCGTTCGTTTCTTCCTCTTCAAATGAGCTACCGACCCCTCGCCTCCCGCAACAGTTTGCAGAGGCTGCACTTGCAAAGCTTGGACTTTAGCCAAGTTGGCGAGCCCGGGGACCAGAATGTCAGCACTGCTCGTGCGCTGATGAGCTTGGGCAGTTGGACGTTGAGCAGCCGAGGATGAGGCGCGTTGTCGTTTATCGCTACAGAGACCGAAGAACTTAGAAGCCATCCCTGCACAGAAGTAAAACGTTAATAAGACGTGCTGAAATTTGAGCAGGCATTCAAAACGGAGGTTACCTTAGGAAGCCTTGCGTTTCACTAAAGCTTTGCGTTATCGAGGCTTGGGTAACCTCTTGTACTTGTCTGGCTGGTCGTGCGGACTAAGACCACTGGAGAATAGATGAGAATTGGAAACAAGAGCTTCGCCACACAGAGCGTATCTCAGGTTCCGACCTTAGGCACGCTAGAGGATCTCCCATGATTTGTTGCTTATCCTTGGTATGGGAGACGGTAGAGCTGTACCACAAAGTTTTATCAGAAAATAAAGCACTAAAACTCGTAAGAACCTAACTCTTACCTACGACACTCACCTACATCTCCGAACTCTACTGGGACGTGACAGATCGGCTCACCATCTCCATTTTTCACGAGCCAATCACCAGATTGAGGATCCAACACTCCTTCCAATTTTTATTAGAAGAAGGATTCCTAATGAGCTGACCTATGTTTCTACTAGCAGAGAGGTAATACCTACCCTCTCCCTTGTTTGAAGCTTTGACGGTGTGGGTGACTAAAGGCTGATCTACGGTAATCCTATCCTCCTCCTCCTCTCGGATGTAAGCCCTAATTTCGATAGACCATCCGTTGGGAGAGAGCTGAGCTGGGGCAAGGTTGACAACACTAAGAAACCTCTGGATGAGGGGATAGAGAGGAAGCCTAACCCCTCTGTTGAACATCTGAGGGTAAAAACTGACGAATCCATGAGGGGGATTCTCAAGGTGTTCACTGACCTTAGGGACCCTGAGGTCTATGGAGTCAGGGATGAGGTATTTCTTCTGAAGCTCGGCTAATCTACCTACCGAGCAGGTTGAGGGAGGAAGTTCGACTATAGAGTTTGCTACGAGAGTTCCTGAGGTAGACGTTAAGTTCGGGTTTTCTGAGGTAGACGCTAAGTTTGGCTCTCCTAAGGCACTCTCCGAGCTTGAAAAGCTGCTAGATTGGGATGACAAATCATGAGGCGAACTACTCATACTTAAAATGAATGAAATACCTAAAAGTTATCCGACAAATGAGGGAAAATACCTAATTTAGACGATGGCCGAGGTATTCAAGAAACTTCAAAATAAAGAATGAAGCGAAAAACTCCGCCTTTTATAGAATAGTCTGAAAGCGCAGAGACCGTACGATGAAGAAAGGATCGATGGACAAGATTCGCCCACGACAGGTTATTCCTCATGGCGACGATTGAGTTCTCGAGATAAACAGTAAGGCTGGCGTCATTGGTGACGTCATGCATTGACACATGGAATCTACCCAAACTTCAGATACCTCGGAATACTTCACCGAGCTGACTTCCCGCTCGTCGAAGTGGGGGCCAATGTTGGAGGCAGATTTTCACCTGCCACATGTCAACATCGTAAAGGTACTTGAATTAGAACACATTTAGAGTATAACAATTTGCTCAAGTCCTTTCAGGTCGGAAGCCATGGCACGAGCTGAGCTAGTTTCCCCTATTATATTATTGTGCAAATGGTCCGAGTCGATCTATGTCTCTAAAATCCGACAACACGCCACGTTTTACGGGCGGTCGGACGACCGTTAGCCTCATGTCGGAACTTCTGTCGGATCCAATCTCTATAAATAGATGTTCTTGCCTTCAATACAAGGTACGCGAATCCATTTGCATTCATTGAGTTAGATTGGATAAGAGCTAACTTGCTCGTCGGAGTGCTAACCTTGTTTTGCAGGTTCTTCGAAGGCTCAAGAAGGTCATCTCTTTCACTCCGACCTACGTGGATTCCGAGCTTGGACTTTTTCGGATCAAACAGAGTATATGTTATATCTTTTAATATTATATTTACTAACTTTTATTTAACTAAAAAAATAAGCTAACCTAACTTAAGGTATTCTTGGTATTCTTGGTAACTTTTATTTAACTTAAGGTATATTTACTAACTTTTATTCTAGTTCTAAAATAATTAGAAATAAGAAATAAAAAACAGGAAACATGGAAATAGAAAACGGAAAACAGAAAACGGAAAACGGAAAACGAGAACTTTACCAAATGAGCCATAATTAACAAATTGATGGATTAAACCAATGTTTTAAGTATGTAATTCTAAAGCAAGAAATTGCAAAGGATGTAAGCTGATGCAAACAACGATACTATTTTTTTTTAATTATTCAAATTATTCAAAATCAAATCTGCCAAAAGAGCAAGAAGCCTTATAATAGGGGTTTGGCTAACTCTAAGAGAAACCCTAAAAGTGTTTGGCTTTGTGCCTTAAATTTAAACAATTTAAATGAACTCTAAACAGAGAAAGCTGCCACATGTCGCTAGATAAAAGGTCAAGAATATCCCTACTATAACATGACTTAGTAGGATAAAATTAGAAAGTAAAGTTACATCAAAGGTTCAAAAAATTGTAGAATCGATGATGTAGATTCATATATATAACAAAAGTAGGAACGTCGAAAAATATCAAAATATCACATTAAGAAAATATACCTAGAACATCCACATGATAATCCAATTATATTTTAAGAAACTTTAAATTCATGAATATAAGTAGAACAAAGCAAAATAGACCTCAATCACCCAACACGACTCAGGTGTTAACGCCTTCGACACCGAAAGGGGGTAGATGTTGTCGATCCTTGTTCAAAACTTGATCCACGACTTTTGGACCTCTTCCAACCATGCACCCGATAGATCTTTGTTCTTTGCAAGCCTAGTTGTTTCATGGCTGATACAAACTTTTCTTTAACTGTCATGGCTTCTGCTACATCTACTTCATACACAGTGGTGGCTTTGCATAAAAAAGTGAGATAAATAGCCCCTCCATTTTGACTTATAATTGTCCTTAATCCCAGTCTCCTTTTTGGTATTCTAATCGTTAGGAGTCTCATCAAGTTCCTTTAAAACAACACCAATGGTCGCTTAGTCACATCATAGTTCTATAGGTCAAGTCAACCAAGCAAACCTAATAAAGACTTGGACATGCAAAATTTTTTCAAGAGAAGCAGCCCTTGGTAGCCATTCGGGAGAATACATCAGAGTAGCCATTCAAAGATCATCTACTCTTCCATGGATGAACGAATAAAAAAGTCAACTTGCTCGTCTTGTCTTACTCTCAAAAGAAAAGCAGTTAGGTTGGAAATAATTACATCCTTCCAAAGGCGATAAGAGGCAAGCAAACAGATTCGACATTGATGGTGAAGCAACATTACATCGAGTTCCTGCTTTTCCCAAATAGGAATAGGCTAGTAAAGATGCTCTTCAGATCTTCCCCGAATAAGTAGATGAAAAAAACTAACTTATTCCCCTACTCTTATCTCAACGGAGAAGCAAGTAGGTCTAAATATCATAACTTCTTTCTAGAAGTAGTAATAGCCTCACATCATGAAATCCAAGCTTATGGATTTCCTCGCCAACAATACTTTAACAGAGTGGATCCACGATATCAGAGAAAGTCACCATTATGACCTCTATCCAAACGCTGGATTAAACAAGACATCAACTCCTAGGGTAAAACTATGGAAAATCACATCAAATGAAATGTCTCGCTGATTTAGAAAGGTTAGACCCAACATGAAAGTCTTACTACTCTCAAGATTAAACCGTCCCACATTATGACCTTCAATCGAGCCAAATTTCATCAAGAGAGTGGGGCCACTCGTATGGGTAAAATAAATAAATAAATAAAAAGGAAAAAGAAGGCCAATTAATATCAATAGACCAGAAGACAACTAGAAGACTGATCAACATCAACAAGCCAAAAGGCTGACCAAGATCAACATACCAAAAGGCTGATCAAGATAAAGCAAACCAGAGGACCGATCAAGATCAACAAGCCAAAAGGTCGATCAAAATCAACGAGTCAAAAGGTAGAGCAAGATTAATAGGTCAAAAGGCCAATCAAGATTAATGAGCCAGAAGGTCGATCAAGAATAACAGACCAAGAATGGTAGACTACGAATGGTGGACCAATAATGGCCAACCAAGAATGTCCCTAGGTAAGTAGTACCAAAACAAAGAATTCCAACTAACTAAAAAACCTAAAAGATGACTTAGTTACAACTACTTAAGGTCAAGCCAATTAAGGAACGCTGTAAAGAGCATAATTGAAACAAGCAAAAAGGCAAGCTAAATAATGAGCCGAGTAGACTTAATTGTAGCCAACCAAGCTAATTAGGGAACTTCAAGGGTATTGTAATTGTAGCAAGTGAAAGAACAGAGCTAATAACGAGCCCAATAGACCTAATTATAGCTCATAAGCCAATTAAGAATCTTCAAGGGTATCATATAATTGTAATCAAGCCAGACAACCTAGTCGATTATAAGCCTAGTAGACTTAATTGTAGCATATTGAGCCGATTAAGGATTTCCAAAGGGTATCATAATTGTAAGTAGGCCGAAGAAGTAAGTCGATTTTGAGCTCAATAGACTTAGTTGTAGCCTACTGAGCTGGTTAAGGATCTCCAAGTGTATCATAATTGTAAACAGACCAGAGAGGAAAGCCACTTATGAGCCCATCAAACTTAAACGCAGCTTATCGAACCAATTAAGGAATCTAAAGGTTTGATCCAACAGACAAAACGACTGAGTCGATTAAGAAAATCCAATTGACTTTCTTTGTAGCTGGTTAACAAAACCAAATGGTTAATACTTTCAACACACATTTATGGTTTTAAATTTGTGAGCAACATACACATTGGATTGATGGGACAAAGAATGAAAACACGAACTACACACAAACACCAAATTATATAGTATTAACATAGACTTATATAGGGCATTCAAACCCACAAGGGTTATTTTGAAAGGGAGCATAAAGAACATTTTAGGTGTTTGTAGAGAGAGATAAGATTATCCTTTTTCTCTCTCCTCTCTCTTTAATTTTTTTTATTTTTTTATTTTTTTTTGGGTGGGGGTTTTAGTTTTCAAGTCCTAGAGTCCAATTCAAGGATGGTGGAAAGGTTCATTGGGTACATATATTGGGTTGTGCCTTGGAATATTTGTTTCACTATGATCCCATTTGCCTTTTGGGAAGGATGGAAGGCATCCCAAAAGGCATAGTCATCTCTATTGGAGCATAAGTTTGATGCCACTGTGCAAAGCCCTAACCCATTGAATGGCCCTTGCCCACAACATGCCACTCTTGATGTTTGAAACCCTGCCACATCATCAAATCAAGATTATTATGAAACGAGTTTAGCTCCTAAACTTTCAGAGTTGTGTTTAAAAGGTTTCTAAGCTTTAAAAGTATTTACAAACTAACTTGTGTTTTCAAAATATCTATTTTTGTTTATGAACTTTTAGATTTGTTTTATTTTAATGTCTATTTCACTCCATAGACTTTTCAAAAAATAATCATTTTGGTATTTTTTTTTAATTTTCTTTTAACAAATTCAGTAGTGGTTTTGAGTATACGCGTTAATATATTAATGTGAGCATGTGCGTATTCAAACTATATTGATTGAAAACGAATATTGGGTGAGCAAATATTAGATGACAAAATAATATAACAATCATGAATAAAATAGTTATTATTATTTATTATTTAAAATTTTGTTTTAAGTTTGGAGATTCGAATAAACGACTTAAAATTAAGAAATTAAAATAAAATAAATTAAAAGTTTGTGGATTAAAATGAGATTTAATTACAATAATTTAGAATTTAGAATTGATAAAAAAGGAGAGATACCGAATGGCAGAGGATTGGTGATGAAATCATTGTGCATTAGGTGAGTATTAACAGCCACAAACACATTGGATCCAATTTGACTGTTGAGTCCTTTGATCATCTCAAGAAGCTGCGGATTATACAAGGACGCCGCCCGCTGCAGCTCCGTCGAGCACTGCCCGCCGTTGCCACCCCTCATCGCCAATTCCGCTGGAACGCACCCGAGCGGTCCCGTTCCCGTCACTAGAACTCGCCGCGCTCCAAGTTCATACACCCTCTGCAACATAATCACAAATCAAGTACTATATTAAAAAAATTGACCGCTTATTATTTATGTAAAATAAAAAATATATATTTCGTATTTTTCTCTCCCACTTGAAAAATTTAATAGTAGTTGGCAGACAGATGGACGTATTCGACTAACTAAAGCGTTACTTTAATAAAAATTTAAAATAAAAATGTTTTAACCTTTATTCTTTATTGTTTTATCAATCTTTCAGTTCACATATATTTTGTTTACGTGTACATATTATCTTTCATCTAATTTATTATATTTGTTTCTTTAATTTTAACACAAAGTTTCCATGTAAATTATAATATTAAATTAATTTATCCAAGTCTAGTAGTCATATTTTTAGCTTTTATTCGGTTTAGTTCGTTTATTTTAAATAGTTAACATTTTGTGCTCTTTGCAAAACTCAAACAAACAAATTATGTACCCAACAAAATTCATTTAATACCAAAGCTATTGCAATATTTCTAGAAGTTAAAAAAAAATTAAAATAATCACTTTAAAAAAATTGAATAATAAAATAGATGGTTTGAAAATATAAAGACCAAAATTAAGTAACAAAAGTTGATATTAAAATGGTTAAAAGCTCCAAATATTGAACAAAAAATAGATTTATTCAGAGTGAAGTTTACCCATAAAAGTCTTAACAAATGAAGGAAAATAAATGTGTTAAAGTTGTGAAGTCTAGGTGTAAGTGGTAAGTGGAAGAAATTTACCAGAAGAAGTTTTCGATACTCGACGATGAGAAGCTTAACGTAATCAGGGAGAGCATACTGCCTCGATCGGGCAGAGAAGGGGACGAGAAAGTAATTGTTGACGAAATCATTGCCGCCGACGGTGATGATAACTAGAGCTCCGTTGACTAGCTGGGTTGTTCTCTCGGCTCCGATGATGCCGCCCACTCTCTTCTGGTACTCTTCGAAGTACTCTAGTTGTCTAAACATTCTTATTACGTTGATCTGCACCGCCACATGTCCATATTTTCTATAAGGCTAAGAGTAATATGTTAACAAGTTCAGCTTTTTCAGTCAAAGAAAATGAGGAAATTTGGGCATACAAATTGAATTCCAGTGTCATTCAGAATGCCAATGCCAGCAGAAGCAAAGTTCGCCCCGTCCAGCAACTTCCGACCATTGAGCTCGGGGCTCAAATACGGAAGCAAAAAATCCGAACCGAGGTGCTTACCTGAAAGACCATATGTTAAGAATATATATAAAAGATCAAACTCGAGTGAAAAAGGAGAGAGAATGAGTTCAAACAGATGAAGTCGGGGATGTTGAGGCCATTGGAGAAGCGGCCAGTCGGACGGTGTGTTGGAAAGTCAATGCCATACGGCAGCGAGTCTGCCCGGGCAGTGGTGGCAAGGTAGTTGTTGTTGCCATTGTCAACCAACGAGTCCCCAAACACGAAGAAAGCTCGCCCGGCCTCTGCTTGGGAACTTAGAGCTCCCAACGCCAACACGAGGCCGAGAACGAGCCACGAGCGAGCTGCCATTGAACCTGACCGGGACGAGAAAGATGCTAGGTTGGAGGTGAAAGTTTTGGAATGGGGTGGAAAATGGAGGGGAGTTGAAAGGATGTTATATAGAAAGGAAGACGAGGATGGGAGTTGTTTGATATCTCTTCATAGTGATTTAATAAATGGCTGTTTTTTTCTATCTGTTTTCTTCTCTACATTTCACTGCCAGCTCAAAAAGGGCATAGCATTGTGAGAGCTGAAAAAATTGGGTGTCATGTGGCAAAAGAAGCAAGTGACTTTTAAACAGTTTAAAGGTTGTGGTTTTATTTAATAGCTAGAGTTTTTTGATGGGTAATTATTATACAAAAGTTGGCCCATTTGGATTATTGTTTTCTTTTCATTTAAATAATATTTTCATCTTATTTGTTACATTGATTTATTTGTGTCTGTTTCAAGAGTCTATTTTGGTCGGTGTAATTTTAAATTTGGTTCATTTTAATTTCTATATTTTCAAAATGTTTGTACTATTAAAAAGTGAATATTTTAATCTTGATTTGAAAARTTTTATACTAAAAGAATCCTTTGATAGAAAATTATGACTATATTTTAATAAATTTTACAAGTGAGATGTCATGCAAAGAATATGATCGAAAGAAGATGAGATTAAAAGTGAAAATGAAGGGATCACACATTTTAAAAGTAAGGGATCAAAACAAATGTTAAGTACAAGGACTAAAATGATGAGAATTTCAAAATACAATAACTAATATAGACGTTTTGAAATTACATTGACCAAAATGAACTAAAGTCGAAAGTATATGATAAAAACGTATTTAAATCTAAAAATTAAATCTTCAAAGTTACATATATAATAAGGAAAATTGGACCATGTTATTGATTCAATTAAAATTAAGACAATTGATAATTCATAACTTATTAGTAACTAACTAAACAGATAAAAACAATAATATATATAAACCATATATATAATTGCAAAACCCATTATAACCTATAGTGCAATTCATTTTCAATTTGACATGTCCTACCACTTAAGGGTTTTAAATTTTTACAATTAAAAGCTGGTAGGTACAATAATATAGTAAACATTAAAAATTTTGCAAATTTTTTATTACACTGATTAGTTGTTATCATAAATATTTTAGGAACTCTGTTGATGCCGATTCCGAGGTTCACGTAGGTGCCATTCGAGTGTCACGTACACTCTCGTCTCTGATACTGTTCTACATCCACACGCATATATAAATCTTACACTGGTGTGTACACTGACAAATGCACTCTGATACTTAAATTATAACTCAAGTAGGGGCAAACAGTTATCGAGCAAAAATAATGAAGGAGCAGGAATCTCAATGATAGAGTTTGCTTCAATGTGTGTGTCGAGTCCTCAMAGGGTGCAGGGAAAATACGGCTTACCTCTATTAGCATTGCCTCTTTCTTTATATATGAGATGGAGAGGATGTGAGGGGAGGTCTCCACTCTCATCATCTCATGGGCATTCACAAGGGAGAGGTATACCACATCGAGGGTTTGTGGGAACCACCGACATCTTCTATCTCCTACTATTGTGTAGGTGAGGGGCTTGGCAGCATCTTGTACGATCTTTGGTAGCACACAATAAGTTTGGGTACAGGGTGCCAGCGACCGTCTTATTATCAGGAGTGCACTCAATCGTGTTAGGTTGGTTTCCATACCAGGCCAAGATGGCTTGGTTCGCCTCCACATCCATGATAGATTAAAATTGAAAATAACCATGAAATTTTCTCTTTCTTTCAAAGCAAGGGAAATACAAGTCTTATTTTAAAAAAAAAATGAATAAATTCTTCACCTTTTCGATAGATATACCGAACTTTTTTTCTCTTTTGAGGGAAAAGAGAAGGCAAATATATAAACATTAATTTCATAAGAAGCATTATTAGAAAGTAGTGAATGTGATTATTAGAAAGTAGTGAATGTGACCAAGAGAGGAGACAGAGCAAATTTGAATTAAATTCTACCCACCATCCCCATCTATGTTAACCTCCAATACTTACATTTCAATAAAAACCCAAACTTGGTACCAATTAATATAGGAAAATTATGGTGGGTAGCAAAATTTTTTTATCAATTTTAAAATATATCACCTATTTTTTAAAATTTCAAATGTAGCAAAAATTTGCACTTATATCAATAGTATATCAGACACTCATATCAGTAGTATATTAAATGTGTATCACATACATATTGCACGGACACTCATATTAGTAGTATATTAGATTTATATCACATACCTATTACAAATATTTCAAACACTCATATCAGTAATATATCAGATGGATATCACATACATATATCAATAGTCACATATATCAGTAGTCAGATATAATATAGATACACTACAAATATATATTATTTGGGTAAAACTGTCAGTTTAAAATTGAACCTTCATTTTTTTTAAATACTATATTTGAAAAAAACTGAATGTGATTGTTATTTTGCTAATTTTACTAAACATTTTTTATATATTTACAACGGTTCCAATTATATATATCTTATTTATTTTGTCAATTTCCCATTATATATGTCTTATTAATTCCATCAATTATATTAACGTTTATATATATAATAATGATTATTGGTGGGTTGCCAAATCAAATATTCTTAACCGCTGCCAAAGCGAGCATAGCTCAACAATAATTGACATATATCTCCAATCAAAAGGTAAATATATATGTCCATTTTAAAAATATATTTAAAATCTTGATGGAGTTAGATTTCTTTTGTTAATGAATTGGATATGATAGTTAACTAACCTTGTCATATATAAGGATATCTTGTCACACATGCGTAGGTTAGGTTAATTTTAATTTTGTCAAGCATATCATTCACATTTCTGTTGACATTTCCACAGTATAAAAAAAAAAAAAAAACCTAATAAAATTTGAAAAACATCACTAAAATATCACTAAGACTAAGGTAGACATAATAATAATAATAATAATATTATTATTATTAATTTTTTAGTTTATTTCAAAAATAATAAAATGCTTATTTGTTAATTTAAATGTTTGTTATGAATTTTTATTTTTATATTCCTCTCAACATTTTCTTAAAATTGGGAAATCGACATTTTCATCGTGATAAAAAATATTTAAAACACTACATTGAACCAATTATAGTTCTTCTCTTAAAACAATTTAATCTACTTGAATATAGTTCAATTGGTGAAGACATTAGTAATCAATAATTTTCCTTAAAAAATCATAGCTTTGAACTCTAACACTTCTTTGAAATATAATACTCTTAAGAAATTAAGAAGACAATAAAATTGTTAGTTTCTTTTAGGTGTATTTATGTGTTGGTCAATCTATTCTATTTATTATTTATCATTTTTCTAGAAGTATTTTAATATTGTGGACAAATTTTAGATAGGAGAAATTAGTTTTTTCCCTATCTTGTTACTCTTATTTTGTAAAAATATTAATAGAACTGTTATTTGATTATAAAATACATAACAAATATTGAAAATTTTAAAATCACATAATAATTTAACATTTATTTTGGAAAATTTTGTATTAAGTAAAATTAACATTTTAATCTAATATTTTAGAGAATAAGAAATGATAAATGATTACAATTTTTTTTCTCTTTTCGTAAAAAATATAGGACAAAAACTATAAAACAATGACTAAACATATCCTTATACTTCTAATTTCTTTTTTAAAGATAAAAACTAAAAGTCAGAAATAAAAAATAGACAACAAGAAACAAGTGTTGATGGCTTTCAAATTTTAGAGTTTTACTTGAATTTTTTTGAAGTATATATAGAATATTAAAAATTGTTATGATATATTTATTTGTAATATATATTATGCATTTATGAGTAAAAATGATAAGATAGTAATTTCATTTATATTTAAAAAATTTGGAAACTTAAAAAGAAAACAAAAAGCAATGTGTGTCGTCAAAGCGAATATAGCTCGACGGTAATTGATAATATATCTGTTTTATAAGCATTTTATTTTCAAAGAAAAATAAACTTATTTACTCACCAATACTTGTTATTGTGTAAAATTCTAACTCAAAAATTTTAAAAATAAAAAGTATTTTTCCAAAACTTGTTTTTGTGTTTTAAAATTGCTTAAGAATGCAAAATATTTATAAAAAAAAAACAAAACAAAAAAGGAAAGAAAACAAGCCAAAGTTTATTTCTTTATGAAAAAACTAAAAATAAATTTATTATCAAATGGGATCAATATATATTTTTAGTTCCAAAAATTATATACAATTTTAGAAATGTTTTCTAAAATTGGAAATGACAAATAAGGACCCATTCATCTAAATTTCATATCTGTCTTTGAGACTTAGAGACAATTAACCTTCAAGTTGGGTATGCCAAGCCTTCAAACAAAATTAAGCCTTCAAATTTTTGCTTTCTTATTTATTGACCATATTTTTTTAATCTCAATAATGAAAAGACAAATTTTCAAAATTTAAGAGAGGGCCTTTATGGTTGCCAACCACTACAGCTACAACCATATCCTTCCACACCAATTAATTACTCTGGTAGGAAAAACAGTTGAACTAACCCCTAATGTAATTACCACAGGCTTCTTCCATTTCAAAAAAAAAAAAAAAAAAATGGGGGTGAAAATTTTGGAAACTGATTTTTGAGGCTCATAAATTTCCCCACCATAAAATTAGTGCTATTAGTAGCAACAATAAGAAAAGGGGTTTAAAAAGTCTTTAAACTCCCAACAATGGACTTTCCAACTGCTACTTGGAATCATGCAATTTTGACCTCTTTTGTTTTGGTTAGAGGTATTGGTCTGGGTTTTGGCTTTTTGACAGTATCAAAAGTACTTTCTCGTTCGAAATTTTAATGGTTTGGAAATAAATATAGAGTTGTTTGGGAAAAAGTCACGAGTTTAAGAGTATAAAACTAAACATTAAAGTGATTTTATTAAATATTTTTTTTATCGAGTACTTATAACTGAAGTAGTTGTGTTAAAAGTATTTATGACATGTTCAGGAGTGGAATTGGATCCCTGAAAATTCATTAGTTAAAAGCTCCGAAAGTG